TAAGGTAGTATATGCTACCTCTTCTAGTTCCTTTAATTGCCACCAAAGCTCCACGAGGTACTTTCAAATTCCCTCATTCCAAAATGATACGATAACCACTCGCATCCAAAACGCCAAGGGAAAGAAAATTTTTCTTCAAGTCAGGGACATACCTCACATGATTGAGTTTTCGTATAACCCCGTCAAACATCTTGATTTGTACTGAGCCGATTCTCGTCATCTTGCAAGTACTATCATTGCCCATATAGACAACTCTGCCATTGAACTCTTTGAAGTCCAAAAACATCTCTCTGTTGTAACACATATGATAGGAGTACCCAGAATCAAGAATCCATTCATTGGTTTGGCTTACTGATGAGGAGATCGTCGAGGCATTATCTGTATCAGTGTCGTTATCGCTAACTACATTGGACTTCGACCCCTTCTCTTTTAAGATCGGGCAATCTTTCTTCCAATGGCCTTTCTGTCGACAATATGCACACTCATTTTTATCAGGTTTTCTCCAATTACCATATCTACCTCTCGACTTTGATCGGGACTCTCCACATTCGCTCCTTTTCCAAGTAGAAGTCCTTTCACGAGCAGTGAGAACATTTGAGCTAGAGTCTTGATATGTCTTCTTTTCCTTCTTTCGCACCTCATTATTCATCAAGGCATTTGAAACATCTTCAAAATTAATATCATAGGCTCCATGCAATAGAGTGGTTACTAAAAACTCGTAGGACTCCGACAAAGAATTTAATAACAACGCCTTATCTTCGTCATCAATCTTAACATCAAGATTGAGCAAATCAGTGATGATTTTGTTAAAATCATCCAAATGCTCAGCCATTGAGATACCTTTCTTGTAGTCAAAACGGAATAGTTTCTTCTTCAAATAGAGTTTATTTTCCATGCTCTTTTGCATATATTTCGCCTCAAGCTTGTCCCATAGTTCTTTCGCCATGGTCACCTTTTGCAGAGAAGCATCAAGATCTTGCATGACCAGCAAATCGCTAACTTCGCCTTGCCAAACACCAAAATTATTGGTCCCATCAAATTTCTCTACTTCGAGATTAGAACTCAAAAATCCACGCTGTGATTTAATTCCAGATGATTCTGCCATTGGTAATAGGTAATCTGGATGTAACTAAAAACACAATTCTTGAAAATTGATTTTCAAGAAAATAAGCACGATTGTGAGCACGTCTAGTGGTTGATGAGGTCAAAACTTTCACAATACCCCAAATACCACAATCAGGCTCTGATACCACTTGTTGTGCGCCGAAAGCGGAACAAATGTACTTACAACACCAATGAACGGAATTACACAAAAATATTTACGTGGTTCAGAGAGAAGAACCCTGCATCCACGGGTAGCAACCAATCAATAAAACCAAAGCGTTACAAGTGAATACCTCACTATCACACTACAAAGACTCTCACCAATATGTCACTCAACTAATACAATGTGACACCCAAAACTCTCCATCTCCGCCCAAAACTCTCCATCTCCTGATATCACTTGTTAGGAATGGATCTTCAGAATAGAGGGAGAAATCTCTCATTATATAGCATTACATAATCAAATCTCAACTAAAACTAAATCTAATCCAAATAACGAAACTAAATCTAATCCAAATAACCAAAACTAAATCTAATCCAAATAACCAAATAAAATCTAATCCAAATAACCAAATAAAATCTAATCCAAATAACCAAATCAAATCAAAACTCTCCCATCTCCACCCAAAACTTCCATCCGATGCACCATTCGGGGTTAGAGCAATGCTTCCAACCGATGCACCTTCCCCCTCCGGGGTTAGAGCCTCCAGAGTTTGAGCAATACTTTCAAACGGTGCATCCACTAGGACATCTATGCTACTTCCAATTGGTGCAACTGTTGGGACTTGTGTTTGATGTGATCTAAGAGCACGAAATGAAAATTGATGATCGAGATTCACAACACCGGTGACATCGCCAAAAGTGGCACCCACTTTCGCACAACATTAACAAGCAATCACTAAGAAAAGGGTGTGAAAGAGCTTGAAACCTTTGCCCATGGCCATTGTGCAGTGTTTTCAAGTTGTAGGGTTAGGGTTACAAGCTCGTCTCACAGATGATGAAGAGTAGCAATGATGAAGCTGTGGGTGTTTGAATTTTTCTAAGATTGTGTAGCCCTATATATAGTTTGATGGAAAACTATATTGAGAAAAGACAACCAAATTTAGAGAGGTTCTTGTATTTTGTGGATTTCTAGTATTCCTACAGAATGTTTGACTACTCAATTTCTAATGCAGTTAATGTTAAGTTTCAAGTCTAATAAATTACTCTTTAGATTTACATTTGGTTCTATTTGGATCATTTTATTAATTTTTCAATTAATTTTTTTATCATATTGTAAGACTACGAGTTTTCATGTTTGAATTTTACTCCATCTAGATGATCAAAGAAATCGAATTTAATAAAAATTTTAACCATATTCTTGCGATAGTAAGATGAGTTGCACACATGTTCTCTATTGCGTAAGTAGAAGACAATGACGTGGTTGATTTAGTTGAATCATTCACTTCTTTTGTTTTGTTGAACAACTTTTAATTTTTACTTGAGCATCTTTTTTATTGACTCCTATATGAGGAATTTGAAAGGGACCTTCACAAGAATATACGAAGAATTTTAAGCATTAGAAGGACTTAAAATAATCTCCAGAGACATGAAAGAATATGAAAGTAGTCCGTTCCGGCTTTTCTCAAGCAGTACATGTAGGGAATAACCCTAAAAAGTTAAGCTTGACATTGAAACACCGGAGCCCGGATGAGAAATTAAATATCCAATTTTTTCTTTTGAGTCAAACTTCCCACAATTTATTCAGGATCTAAGATGTCTAATTTCAAGATAGATAGAAGAGAAAAATGCTTAAAAAATCTCATCGGCTTAAAAAAAAATATATAAAAGAAAATATATAAATTATGGAAAATCTGTCAAAGTCAACTCCTAATTAGAGGTATGGTAATCACCTACTCACAGTTCCAACTAGAGAGAAAAAAAAAAAAAGAAAAAGAAAAGGAAAAGAGGGAAGGTTTAGGATTCTCGAGAGAAAGTCGAAATTTGCTCGAGACGGTAGTTTGAAGGCACGGTTCATCAAAGTAAGTAACCACACGAGTTTTAGGCAAGTAATACTTGTAGGGATTACAAAGAGTACTAGCACGAAAGCATTCCTTACCTTAGGTGGTTAGAAAATGCACGTTAAGGATTTTGGAAGATCGTTTTTATGAGTATGTAAGTTATGATAAAATTACTAGATTGAGATTTCTAAGAAACATGCTGTCTTGTTTATTATGCAAGCAAGAAAGAGAACATGCTTGACTAAAATAGGAGTTGGACAATGTGGATCAATATTTTAATCATGATATAAAAAATTACCAAATTGCCCTTATGATGAGATTTGTGATGATTGTTGTTTTATATGCTTTCCAGTATGTTAGCAAGGAGGATGACTTATTGTGATTTGGACTCGAGGTGATTGATGAATGTTATCTTTCTGTTGAGCTTGTTTGCTTGTATGTCCACATGTTATAGTACGTTTTAGCTTCAAGTGTTTAATTGTGTGCTCTCGCTCTAGAATGTGTTTATTTGCACAGAGTTAAGATGTTAGATTTAAGTTGGCTAGACGATGACTTAGGTTATGATGGCTCCAGTAAACTAAGCATCCTAGGATATTGAACAACGGTCAATTAACATAGATTCTATTGCTCCAACGCTAAGAAATACTTGAGAAGACTAAACAAATCAGTCTCGAGCTATATCAACATTTTTAATTAGTTGGTTTATTTATTAAATTTTTAGAGTATTACCAAACTTAAATTTAAATATTTGATTACAAGGGAAAAAAAATCAAATAAATTTTTTTGATAAATTTTTTTTCAAGACTTCGATGTCTGCCTTTAGACTAAAGAGATGAAAGCAAAAATAAATTAAAAAAAGTAGAGTAAAATAAAATAAGAATATTCGAACAAATTTATATCAAAATAAGGTAACAACACAAAAACTAAGCACAAAATATGTATTACAATGGAAAGTTATATTTATTTTTTGACATTTTTATGAGTTAAAAGACAAATAAAAATTAAAACTAAAGGAATAGTGTCTATATTTTTTTTCCATGATTAGTTTTGAAAAATATATTAAAAAATAAAAAAACAAATTGGACGAAAAAAAATTGTCCCATTTTTGTTTTCTAAATTGTTTCAAATAGGCTATGTTCTTTCTAATTTTGTTTAGAAAGCAAAATGGATCTAAAAATGTGAAGAATGATACTTTGATACTATGTTAATAATGAGAAGCTTTTATACCATGTTAAGAATGATGCTCTAGAGTACCATGTTAAGAATGAGAAATATAGGTGGGATCGAACGTTTAAGAAACATAGGTAGGATCAAAAGTCCCAGTGGGATCTAAAGTCCAATTTTTATTAATGTTCACAACGTCTCGAATTGATCTACAAATGTTAAGAATGATACTTTGATACCACGTTAATAATGAGAAGCTCTGATACCATGTTAAGAATGATTCTCTAATACTATGTTAAGAACGATTCTCTGATACTATGTTAAGAATGAGAAACATAAGTAGGATCGAATGTTCGAGAAACATAGGTGGAATCAAAAGTACTGGTGGGATCTAAAGTCAAATTTTCATTAATGTTCACATGGACTAAATAGAATACAAACTACAGACTAAATCCAAAAAAACAATCAGTAGATAAAATAAAATATATCAAATATAAAATCCTAACTAAAATGTATTCCAATAAAATAAAAAAAAACACTAAAAAACATGAACCATAAGACAATCTTTGAAAGTAGGCCTACTACATCACAAAATTACAAAAATTATGGTTTCATGCTTTTGAAATTATTGTCGGTAATGTCTGTTTGGAGCCGACTTTGTTAGATAAGGTTTATGTATGCTTTTATTTTGGTGCACACAAATGTTCTCAAATTGGAAGTTTTGAGAATCCAAGAAGAAAACCATGGCGGAATTCTTGTGGACCTTCGCTGTGCAAGAAGTGTTGAAGAAGACGCTGAAACTGGCGGCTGAGCAGGTTGGCCTGGCATGGGGATTCAAGGATGAACTCTTGAAAATGAAGGATTCTTTACTCATGGCGCAAGCCATCCTAACGGATGTTGAAAAAATGAAGGTAGACCTTAACTCCTTAAAGCTATGGGTGAAGAAGCTTGAAGATATCGTCTTCAAAGCCGATGTTTTGCTTGATGAGCTCGCTTATGAAGACGTTCGAAGTAAAGTGGAAATCGGGAAAGATATGATGGTACGCAATTTCTTTTCGTTCTCAAAAAATTTCTTTGTTTTTCGTCTCAAAATTGCAAATGAAATCACAACCGTTACTAAAAAGTTGGATGAGTTAGTTTCTACAAAATGTCCTCTCGGATGTGTTGCTACAACATTTAATGAAATTGAAACTGAAACTGATCTTAACCAAGTACGAGAGACGGACTCCTTTCCTGATGAAATTGGAGTTATTGGGAGGGAAACTGAAGTATCAAATATAGTGGATAAACTACTCGCTCTTAAGAATCAAGAAACTTTGGTTGTTTTACCCATCGTTGGTACTGGTGGATTAGGAAAAACAACTCTTGTGAAGGAGGTTTTCCATCATGATATGATAAGGAAGAATTTCGATACAACTATATGGGTATGTGTGTCTGACCATTTTAAAATCAACAAAATTTTGAGAGCAATCGTGGGATCCTTGAATCCAACATTTGGTGGCTCAGATGAAAGGGAACTCATACTTCGGGAGCTCAAAAGTCTGTTGAGTGTCAAAAAGTATTTTCTTGTGCTCGATGATGTTTGGAATGAAGAACCCGTTCTATGGAATGAGTTGAGGGCTTGTTTACTAAAGATCAGTCAAAATGTTGGAAGTGCTATAGTTGTGACTACTAGAAGTGATAAAGTTGCTGAAATTATGGAGACAAATTACAGACATCATCTAAGGCAGTTGTCGGACCATCATTGTTGGTCTTTATTTGAAGAATGTGCATTCAGAAGTGATTTATCAATAATTCCTATTGTGATTCGAGAACTACTTGTTAAAAAATTTGGTGGTATACCATTGGTTGTGAAAGTGTTGGGAGGAATGGTGAAATCATGCAAGAATGATGATGAACTGCAATCGACTTTAGAAAATCTAGTGAGAATTGAATTACCAAAGGAAAATCTTATTTTATCCACAATCAAATTAAGTGTGGACCGTCTACCATCTTCCTCATTGAAACAATGTTTTGCGTACTGTTCAAATTTTCCACCAGACTTTTGTTTCTACAAGGAAGCACTTGTTCAGATGTGGATAGCACAAGGGTTTATTCAACTACCCAATGGAAGCAATGTAACGATGGAGGATATTGGAGTGATGTATTTCGATATTTTGTTGTCTCGTTCCTTGTTTCAAGATGTTTTCAAGGATAAGAGAGGAAAAATTATATACTGTAAGATGCATGATCATATACACGAGGTCGCATGTGCTATTTCAAATGATCAAAATTTGAGAAGGCACCTTGTAACGAATGGAAAATCAGAAAGTGATGAAGTTCTTTCGATCCGTCAAAGAAGAAGAATAGTTTATTGTTGTGAAAATGTACACTTTGATAATCGGGATATGATCATCAACTTCATCTACTTGCGCGTTTTAATTATTGATTATGGATTCATAACTGAATTGTCAGATACAATCGGTAAATTGAAGCATTTGAGGTATCTTGACATTTCAAAGTCTGGAATAAATACGCTCCCAAAATCTATCGTTTTACTTTACAATTTGCAGACTTTGAAGCTCGGACGTGATGTAAAGCTTCCTACAAAGTTGAGAAAGTTGGTCAACTTTAAGGCATTTGGAATTTGATTTTGGTTATTCAAATCAAGTTAAGCAAATGCCTAAACATTTAAGCCGAATGACTCAACTTCAAACACTTTCTATTTTTGTAGTTGGGTTTGAGGAAGGACGTAAGATTGAGGAGCTTGGACCTTTAAAAGACCTTAAAGGTAAATTAAGCCTTTTACATCTCGAGCAAGTCAAAAGTAAAAAGGAGGCCAAGGCTGCAAATTTAGTACCGAAGGAAAATATTTCTGATCTACTTTTTGAATGGAGTGTTGAAAGAGAAGACTGTGATGACAATGATTTGAGTGTGTTAAAAGGGCTTCAACCACACCAAAACCTTCAAGCATTGAGAATTCGTAATTTTGCTGGTGAACTTCTGCCCACCTGTATTTTTGTTGAAAACTTGGTTGAGCTACATCTAGACTACTTCAAAAAATGTGAAACTTTACCGATGCTCGGTCAGTTATCCAAACTTGAGGTTCTTAAAATTAACGAGCTCAGTGCTGTAAAAAGTATTGGTTGCCAATTTTATGGGAATTATTGTGATAGCAGAACTTTATTTCCGAAACTGAAAAGACTTGATATTTTGCAAATGGACAATTTAGAGCAATGGGAAGAAGTTACTGCTTTGACAAATTCCACGGCTTTTCCTCATCTCGAAAGCTTAACTATTTGTTCTTGTCTCAAACTAAAGAATATTCCAAATATTTTTACAACTCATGGTCAGAGGTTGGAGGCTGACACGGTTAATGCAAGATTGTTTTCAAGCTTTCAAAGTCCACCAAAGCTTCAATCTCTATGCATTTATAACTGTACAAGTTTGATAAAGCTACCAAACTGGTTGGAATTCTGTAGCTCACTCGTCGATTTGTGCATAGGCGACTTTCATGATGATATTTCCCCTTCAAAATTGAACCCACCAAATTTGCAAAATATGCAGAACTTGTCATCGTTAAGACTCGAAAACTTTCATAACTTGCCCGAAGGACTTGGTCGTATTCATAACTTGAAAACATTAGTAGTTGAAGGGCCAATGCAGGATTATGATTGGAGTCGATTCATACCCTTCAATTCACTTGAAGTTCTTGAGTTGCATGAAATAAGAACCGTTAATTTAACACAGCTTCCTCGACAACTTATGTTCCTCACTACTTTAAGATCGTTGTATATTAACAATTTTAATGGCCTTGAATCTCTGCCAGAATGGTTGGGAAACGTTACATCTTTGGAGACATTAGAGTTATGTTTGTGCAAAAATTTAAAAAATTTGTCCTCGAAAAAAGCTATGTCAAATCTAACCAAATTGAATCGTTTGAGAGTGCTTGGATGTTCTCAGCTTGAAGTTGGTGAAGGTGACGTTGAACGAGAAAAAGTTTCTCATGTACCCAATATCTTTGTATTATAACACAACTACTTTATGATGGTTTCTTTTCTTCATACTTTCTTTTTTTTAATGTTTTTATTAGCGTAATTAAAATTATAATTATATTCCTTGTACTTTAAGAATTGTATTAACTTATTTTCGTGACACACTTATTTCTTTTTATGGATTTTTATTTTTCTTGTTCTTTTTGTCGTTTTTTTTATTCCGAGTTAACGTATTTCGTGTTAAAAAACTATCGCTACTCCAATAGAATCAAGTACAATCATTACGAAAGTTCAATTATCAAGAAGTCCAATCATTCTCGGAAATCTCGATGGGATTAGGTTTGCAGTGAGTTGAGCTTTAAGTGTAATTTGCAGGTTTTCATCCTCGTTAGTGCACTTCGAAGGCTCGATGCAATCGTTTTCTCGAAATATTCTCTCAGTGTGTCATCACCTCTTTAAATACGTGGTTACAAATTAAAAACTCATTTTCTCTATGAAAAAATCAATACTTTAAACCAATATTCTATCCTCCCAATCATCTTTTGATTAATTTTTTCTCCATAGGTTTTGATGGAAACTTTTCACTTGTGATTTTGTACTTCCTTATTGACATAGCTGATCTTTTTATTATCACCTACACTTCTCTTTAATAACAAGTTGAATTACTCTTCTCCTATGAGTTTAATTGTAATGATTAAAGATAATGATCACAAGGTGAAGGAGGAAGGTGATGAAGGTTTGGGAACACAAGATATGCTTAAAAGAAGGTACTCGAGTCATCCTCGATGATCTTCATGAATTTGCCTGTAAACCCACGATTCATTGTAGCCACTACTCAAAATGACATTATCTCATAGAAAGTTCGAGTTTTAGTGGGAACCAACGTATTTATTTAACCTACGAGTCCTCTAAATCTCGAAAGTTAAGAAATTTAGATGGTTTAAGATGTGTGTTAGTTTTCTTTCTTACTACATACGAATAGAAACCTAACAAGTTCAAATTTATTTAGTATTTAGTATTTTAATAATAAGTCTACTTGTAGAATTATAGTATTAATTAAGAAAAATATTTTTCTCATATGCAAGTTGCATATTAACCTTCATTTTCAATCTATTCGAATAAATCAATATTTTAAACTAATATTTTTAAAGTGAATGTCTTTCAATTATTGTCCTTTTGTTGGAAGGAACATTTGGTTAAGTCTAAATGCTTAAGATATCAGAGGGTGTTACTCACGTGCTACGATAAAAATGTCATCAGATTCTACAAGTAGGTTGCTTATTGAATATGTTTATATTCGTTAGATTCTACTTTTTTTTTTTCCAAGTGATCGTTGATTATTGGTCAAGATGGGAGAGCTTTTGGGAGCTACGTTGTCACAAAAGAGGGTCATCTCGGGCTGTCGATCTTTGTGTATTGGAGATTTTGGTTCTTTTAGATTTGTATCTCATTCCCTAATTCCCATTTTGTAATAAACATTAAACAGTTGTCTTGTTATGAATTATGAATTGTCTTTTAAATATGACTTTGTTTGGTTTTAAAATGCATAGAATTTTATCGTACTTTTTAGTATCAGCCCATGAACTGACGGTGCTTCAATATCTCGAAAATTGAGTTGTGACAAATTGGAACGACCAAAGATTTCTACTAATCTAAAGTTGTTACAGTCATCATACCTTATTCTCGTACGTGAAAATGAACATTTAAACTTTATAATAAAACATTGTCATAGGTTTACATATTTGAAAACCAACATAGGAGTGGTTTCTTGGACAAAATTGGATGTAGAGTAATTCTCTGCATACAATCCATACCCCTCAAAATAACAAAATTATCATTTTGTTTCAAGTTCATTTTGATCCAAAAATAAAAGGTTTTAGCCATGATGACAGGACTCGAGTTTTAGTATAGTAAAGGTATTAGGATTGATACCAGTTGTTAGTTCTAATACCAATTGTTAGGATCGCTCAACAACGCACACACTTCATCAAGATGAACACAAAGAACTAGAGAGAGAAAATACAAGGAGGAATATTGGGTAAAGGTTTTTTTATTGATGACTTCAGATATGTACAGAGAGAATACAGAGCCAGGAGAGAGGTTTTATTATTGATGACTTCAGATGTGTACAGAGAGAATACAGAGCACGGAGAGAATACATTTTTAGAGCATGGGTATATACATGGTTTCAATTTACTAAATATAGCTTCCAAAGATTTAAACTATCCGATATAATCTAACAAATATATCTCTATCAAATCTTTACCAAATATCTACCATATATATCTCTATCATATCTTTACGAAATATCTTCTAAATATATCTCTACCAGATCTAGGCAGCTCCATATCCCAACAATCTCCCACTTGGAGACTCTATATATCTTTACTAAATATCTTCCAAATATATCTCAGATCTAGGCATCAGACTCCATATCCCAACAATCTCCCACTTGGAGACTGATCCAGTCAATCGCAACAATCTCTCAATTAGAGACGGGTCCCGTTAACCCCAACAATCTCACACTTGGAGACTAATCCAGTCATCCAAGAATTTCATTCTCAATCTGTACCATACCAATTGAGGCTTTGCACAACCTCAATGTTCCAACATCAACTCAAAATGTTTGCTGGATTTCTTGTACCCTCTATCTTCTCCAAACACATCACCATCTTCAACTAACCTCGAGTGAGATGGTATCGCCTTCTGTGTTTTGAATGATAGACCGGGTTCTTCGCCAACTGCATGACACTCTAACTATCGATTTGAAGAATCTTCTCGCGCTGCTTCTTGCCTAATTCTTCTAGATAGTGTGTCATCCATATCATCTTCTTTCTAGCTTCAGCTAATGCCACGTACTCAACCCCAGCAGATGAAAGAGCAACGCATTTCTGAAGGCCAGACATCCCATCATCCATGGCTTGCTCCCACTTAGTTGTATCCTCCAACTGTAGGGCCTCATCAAGGGGATTTTGTTCCCCTTCATTAGTCACCAATCGATAGTGTAAAGGAACATACCTATCTGATACTCTGATGACTCTGGATGATCTTTTCAACACCTGCTGAGGTGTCACTTGATCTGCTTCTAGTTTCTCAACAACAGTTGAGTATCTGCTACAACATCACTAGGTGAATCTTTTAGCAACTCAACCTCAACTCCAACTTGCTTCACCTCTGGTTCCTCACCTCTTGAATATCTGCTACAACATCACTTTGTAAATTGTTCTGCAACTCAACCTCAACTCTCACTTGTTTCGTTGTCCCGGTACTTTTCTTCAATTCTCTAACAGTCTTTGTGAAGCTAACTCGTTTCTGTTTGCTCATAACTCAGTTCTCACAAGGACTCTATCAACAGATTTCAGATGTTCCAAAACTCCTTTCGGCATCTTCATTCCTTTAACGCTCATATGTCCAAGTCTATTATGCCATAGGCTTGAATTTGAAGCACTCTCAACAACAGCAGCTCTGTTCATACACCCTGCAATGGTGTATAAAGTTCCAGATTTTGTGTCATGTGCTACCACCATAGCACCCTTCACAATCTTCCACGAACTCTTACCAAACTTTGTTGCATAACCTGTGCTATCCAACTGACTAATAGAGATCAGGTTCTTCTTGAGATCAGGAATATATTTAACATCCTTTAATGTTCACTGATTTTTTGCTGGAGTTTTTATGCAGACATCCCCTTTTCCTTCGATCTTCAAATTTTTGTTGTCGACAAGATACACTTCTCGAAACTTCCAGACTTGAAATCTCGAAACAACTCTTTATTTGGAGACGAATAAAAAGATGCACATGAATCCAAAATCTAGGATTCAATCAAACTGTCCACGCTGAGGATCAGAGCATCCCTAATGTCTTCTGCTGAATGTATCGAATCATCGTCATTCTCTAATTTGTAATTCTGCTTCCTCTTTGTACAATTTGCCCGAAAGTGACTTTTTTCTCCACAACTCCAACTCTTTACATTTGGTTTGTTTGGAGATTTTTCTCGGTTCCTTGATTTTGATCACCCATTGTTTGGGCCCTTTGATTTACTTCTTCCCCTTCGATTAACACATAGAGCATTGCCTGATGAATCTCCGATTTTCTGTTTGCGAATACTTTCGCTAAGAACTACATCTCGAATTTTATCGAACTTCAGTTTATCAGATCCTCGTGAACTACTGATCGCGGCAACAACAGTATCCCACGACTCGGGTAAAGATGACATCAAAATCAATGCCTTAATTTCATCTTTGAAATTAATACCCACCGAACTCAGTTGACTTGTAATCATATTGAATCGTTTATATGACCAGCAACAGATCCACCTTCAGACATTTGTATGTACATTAAACAGCCGCCTCATTAAGTACACCTTGTTCATAGCCGACGGTTTCTCGTACATATTCGACAACGCCTTCAACAAATCTGACGTTGCTTCTCCTTGATGATGTTGAATGCCACATTTTTGGACAGCGTCAATCGGATCAACCCTAAGACCTAACGATCCTTGAGCTTCCACTGCTCCATGGTCATACTATCCGACTTCACCCCCAACAAGGGTTCGTGAAGATCTTTCTGGTACAGACAATCTTTAATCTTCATCTTCCAGAAACTAAAATCGGATCCATTGAACTTCTCAATTCCAAGCGTTGAAATTTCTATCTTCACAGATCGTGGTGAATTTCGCCTCGCTCTAATACCAGTTGTTAGGATCGATACCAGTTGTGAGCTCTGATACCAATTGTTATGATCGCTCAACAATGCACACACTCGATCAAGATAAACACAAAGAACAGGAGAGAGAAAATACAAGAGGAATATTGACTAAAGGTTTTATTATTAATGACCTTGAGAGATTTTGAGCCCAGTATACTTCAACTTGGAAAGTAGTCAAAATGCTACCATCCTTCTTTCTGCCATCGACTTAAGGAAGAGCTTTCCATGACGAACTCCATGTAATTCCTTGACACAAAGGAGTGGAGCCAATCAAGGGCAGGTTTGTATCAATCAGAGGCCGCTACTCTTTGGATATATCATAGAACGTATCCATAAGAGTAGGAGACTCAGACGGATAAATG